TCATGCAGTATTATGACGGTAAGGTGTGTGGGGGGGGGGGCATCGTTGGTGTGTGATGAGGTGATAAAGAACACACAGAGTGCAGAGCAGGTCCAGGCCTGTCGAGAACAATCCACACTGACCCCCCCTGTGAGAAGTTCCCAGTTCCCAGGACCCAGTGTGTGCGTTTGGGGGGCAATAACTCACCAGGTCCCTTGACTTCCTCTTTCGGCCTTCTGCGTTTTATGACCCCTCTCCTTTGCCATACAGCTGCTCTCTACGCAGCTTCCCTGTGCTCTGATTGGACGAGACGGGAGTCTGAGGGAAGAGGATGAAAGGGAAGAGACAGGGAAGCAGCTGGGATGAGGTGGGAAGCTGGCTTGATCTGGGGATGGAACGCGTTTTATTTTTTATTGTCATGGCCATTACAGATGATAGATGGACACAACTTCCTTGTTGTGCTCCACATGCACCTTTCCTCCACACTGCAAATGGACAGAGGGAAACCACTAGCCTAATTCATACTGAATTCCCATTTTTCACTCCACTATGCATCAGTTCTATTCGAATGACTGAAGAAAAGTTTGATGTGAAATTAATAAAACAGTAAAACAGTTTTCTTTTTCAAGTCTTTAAAATCTGCAGGGAGAGAAAGAGTTTAGATTGTGTTTCATTTGAACTGTCCGTGGTGAATTTACAGTAAATGATCATTAAAAGCCTCTTCAATAAAATCCCTCTTGGACGAAAGTTACCCAGTTTGGGTCAATATAGCACCTACAGTACTAACGGGTAGAAAACCACCCAAGACAGTTGTTTTGACTCAGTCTTAGTGTCAGCGACATGATTCTAGGAAAAGCAATGTTCGCTTGGTCCGCCGATTTGATCCAGACTAAAATATTTCAACAACTATTAGATGCATTGCTGTGAAAGTTTGTAATGGCATTCAGGGTGCCCAGAGGATTCATCATAATGACTCTGATGATCCCCTGACTATTCCATGAGGGTGACATTTGTGATTTTCAGGGAAATATCTCAACAACTATTGGATAGATTGCCATGAAATTATATATAGATATTAAAGGTCCCGAGAGGATGAATTCTAATGACCCTGGAGACATATACTCGATGGATTGGTACCACATGTTGTACATTTATGTATATTTATAGTTTATAGATCAAGTATCTTGGTGATACCCTGACTTTTTTTGAAAAACAATTGTGTTTTTCATTTAAATAGCTCGGAAACTTTTGAATGGATTGCTGTGAAATTTAGTACAGACATCCACAGTCCTCTGAGGTTGAAGTGTGAAAACTGTGATCCCCTTATCTTTCACCTATAGGGCCATCATCAGGTATACATTTCTGTTTGCCCAATACTTCAGTTTATGACCAAATACCCGTAAAACTGATGACATTCCCATCAGCCTCCGCTGTACTTGGTGTTTGGAGCTTATTAGCAAATGTTAGCATGCTAACACGCTAAACGAAGATAGTGATCATGGTAAACATTATACCCCGGCATGCTAGCATTGTCATTGTGACCCTGTTACCAAGCTAATGTTGACATTTAGCTAAAAGCACCGCTGCGCCAAAGCAAGCCTCACTGATTTTCTAGTATGGCTGTAGACTCTTATGTTATTTAACTAAGCTAAGGTGGTGAACTGTTAGAATGTTTTTAGACTTATATGTGTCACTATATGTGTATCCTTTGCAGGTAAAACTTGTGCTTGTTGTGTTGCATAAGTATGTATTGTTTATAGAGGTTAGGTCAAAACTGGGTCAAATTAACCCGGCACTGTGCCAGTGCCTTCCTGATCCACACTAGCTCCGCTTTAACCCAGTGATTTGTTTGCATGCTTGTCTGAGGGTGTCTTTTTCTTCTTTTCTGTCACATCCTGTCAGAGAACGAGGTCTAGTCAACCTCGGGGGAGTAGATGAAGTTGTCAGAGTGTGGCAGACCTCTCTTACGAACACGATCTACGGCGTGGCCTCCTTTTAAAGAGATCAGACGTTCAGTGGACATGAGCAACACTCGGGAACAATCAATGAGTTTGAACACGCTGTGCTGTCTGTTTGTCGCAGACAAAGTTAAAAGCTCACGTGAAGTTGCGGGAAACACAACTGAAACTCTCTTGCTGTGTCTGAATTTGCATGCTTGATTTTTTTTTCCAGTGAGGTTGAGGCGAAGTGGCTGAAGGTTGAAGGTCAGGGCCACGGTCACGTTGTTGCGATGTCCTGTTTCTTTAAGATTACACAAGACTCCGGAGAAGTCGAGTGCGTGCAGACGGTCTTGTGGTTGCGTCTGCGCTTTTGACAGGAAATCTAATCAAGAAAGGGTAATAAGAGTCTACAAGAGTGTGAACTACGCAGCACGTGTTGTTCTTAAATAATAAATGTTTGGAAGGCACTGCAACCTTTCTACCTGTCTTGATTTGTGACTTTGTGTGTGCGTGTGTTTAAATCAGGCTGTGTGTTTAGTACATGCGCTGTATTCCTGACCCTTGATCACACAAAGTATTTTAATCCAATCAGCTTCGTTTTCACATGACTGTCACACACTCGCTGCTGCTATGGTAACCTGCAGAGGAAGGGGAGAAAGTGCCAGAGAGAGAGAGAGGTATGTTATCCTCTCTTTAATCACTGAGACATTTACTTACACACACACACACACACACACACACACAGAGAGACAGACTTTATAGATTTTACCCAGGTACTCAAGTTTCTTTCTACTTCCTTGTTTCTGACTACACAAACATTTTAATCTTGCTATTTCAAAAAACTTGAATGCCCTGCACAACTAAAGAATGTGTGGCAGAGGAAGAAAAGATACCAAATCAATCGGTTAAAATAATATTATTAAAAAATATTGAGGAATGAATAAAATTGAAGTGTTCTGGAAAGTCAGGTTGAAAGGCTGACAGGTTTAAACGTGGCGAGAATGGCTGGGCAAGTGGTGACAACTATAGGGTATGACTGAAACTGACGGGAGATAGACGAAGGTGAGCACAGTGTAGCATACAGAGACACAACTACAAATAAGCAGACATCTGCAACAGAGACAGTAAAATAAAAAAAGTTTGCTAAAAGATGTTTTTGTGGAACAAGTTTACGAAGAAAGATAGCGATCGCAACTTAGGCCAAACTCACAAATACTTACTTCCCTTGAGAGGTGAAAAGGTTAGCCTGTGCCCTGTGGTTTGTTTTTGGCACGCTACCCTCTGCTGCTTCTCATTTCTCCTCTGACATTTCCTGTTCTGCCTCAGGTTGAAGAGTCAGCCTGCTCCTCTGTAAGCTCACAATGCTAGTATTTGTTGCATTTATGCGGTAGAGACCTGCATCTGCAACAGTCTGCTTTTCTTTCTCTCATATCCCAGAAGCTGTAGCAGCCTATATTTTTCCGTCCTTTTAAAACCTATGATTTGGAGCTCGGCGAGCAGAAGGCCACTGTCAGCAGCAGAAGTTGCAAGTCAGGGAGATTTTGAGCCTCATTATTTTATTTTTTTTCCAACTGCATCAGTGCAATAGTGAGCAAAGCACTCTTCCTGCTGGTCAAGAGAGGTATCATCAGACGGTGTTTTTGGTGGCAAACACCATGAAATAGCTTGAGGGTAAAGTCAAAAATATTTCTGGAAAATACCTGGAGGTGCCCTCTGAGTCACTGGGTATCCTTCTCAGAAGTCGTGGTTGACTACGCTTTTTTTCAATTGATGTCTTCCCCACCATCTTTTATAAAGACAGTTCTTTTACTGGAAGTGTTTTGCATAATCTATATTATTCAGACGGTTATAGGAAAAAGATTCAAAGGTTAAATCTCAGGCTGTTTAAATGACAAAGAATGTACATTTCTAACTGCTGTGGTGAGTTCCTGTCTTAGATCACCCACTTTTGCATTTCAACAGCCTCGGATCAGGATTATAATATAAACTGGTGGCAATTTGCTGTCTTGTATGTGTATTCTGCATAAGATGGCTTAACCAACAGTGAGAAGTCCTCCTAACTTTATAACGCAAACAACTCTTATCTACGTTCCCAGATAAAGGACATCATGATGAAGGTCTTCTGACAGAAAGGAAGCGTGTTTTGTGCAAATGATTTTATTCATAGAGCAGACAGAACAGAAAAGGAGAAGGTGTCCTTTCCAGCCGTGAGCACCTGCGTCTCTCAGCCTGAATTCACTGTTAAATTGAGTCTATATATGGACACTTTATACAAAATGAAAAAAGGACCGGACCAGACATGTTTAATGTCTGTATGTCTGGTAACAGAAAGGTGTTGGCCCACACAGTCACGGTGCAAGAGACGGTAAAAGGAGTACGGATACACTCTGCTGAGGTAGGGACTGTACCAAAGTTATTGAAGGGGGGGGGGGTTGAAGAAACAAGGCTTCCCCCAGCGCAGCGTCATTAACATTTTATTTTGGCTCCCTCCTATGAATAATCCAGCCACCCTCTATTTTAGAATAAAGACTAATTAATAGGCTAAACTTGTATAATAAAGATAATATTGGCCAACTTTATATGGCACATTAGTTGTTGTTGTGATGAAGGCTAAAGTGAAGGAGGCAACAAGATCATTTAATCCGTATTAATTGTACACATACATTTCCATGTTCTGTTTCTCATCATTTATCCTATTAGCTAGTTGACTGTGATGCTAAAAATACAAAATAAAATTGACAGGAAAGGCCCTTATCACAGCAGGTAAACACAGGGGTAATTAATAACAATAATTATGGGACGACGATTAGCTAGCCACACACGCAAGACACAGCGACTCACATGCACGCGTGGCCAGACTGGCTATGTAAACAAAGCACAGAGAAGCTCCGATTACAACACACAAAGAGGGAGAGGGACTTCATTCTCCGCTCTGGACGCCATCGTTTGCTGCAATATTAATGCTCTGAATTTCCAATTTAGCAGTTTCAAAAGAAATCAGACTTCCCTGCTTTTGGCAATAAAAAAAAGAAACATCATGCTCCTGACTCCCTAATAGATTTTGTACAGTCCCTTGTGGGGTCACTGACTTCCCATAATGGTGGAAAGAATCAGCTGAAGTATACACGGGTGAAATAGCCTTTTGCAAGGCTTACATACAATATTTAAAACAATAAACCCTCAAGTCTACTTGAATTACTTTTCTTATTTTTTCCAAATCGCTGTAACTGTGTTCCAGGGCCATTAAGCCACCACTACTGTGATTATAATGTTAATGAATGCAGATACCCAGATGCTGTGCTCAGGATAAGTAGAGTTGTTTCGATGAAAGCAGTGCTGTTACAGTTCAGTACAGCTTTGGAAACTCGCAGAAACAGGAAACTTGTTTTTCTCTTCATTTTCCCTCCACACTTCAAAACCAATCACCTACAAAAACAGAGCAATCGACCCACACAGACGCATTCACTTAGTTCCACTCATCTCTAACGCATTGTTGAATAATTGTTACGAATATTACATGTAATCACTTATAATTAGATCACACATCCAGGTGAGAAGAAAATGGGCGGTGGTATGTCAGCAAAGTCTTATTAAGAGCAGGTATCCTGTTTTTAGTGTCTCTCTGCACTAAGACTCTCTCCGGCTCATTTTCCACGTCAATACCTCTTTCCTCTTCCTCTCTCAGAGCCACCAGAAGCGCACATAGACAATGAGCATGATGAAAAACACACCGCCGGCTGCCAGCTTGGCATAGGTGGAGCGGGTGTTCAGATACTTAGCGTCGCTCCTGTACTTCTTCGACAGGCTGGACAGGTTGCTGGCCTTGGAGTCCAGCGCTGCAGAGAGGAGAGACGGGGAGGAAAGAGGGGGGGATGAAAAAGGAGGCGAGGGAGACACAGACGAGGGCAAACAATCAAATGAGGATCACAGTGTGGATGTGAACTTTAATCGTTCGGTGAGAGGACACATCGACATGGACTTACCAGAGAGAGCCTCTCCCCTCTGCAGCACCTCCTCTATGTTAGCCACCATGATCCTCTGCACGTCCTGGAGCTCCGTGTTGATGTTGCCCAGATTCCTTCTCGCTCGGCTGTCAATGTACGACTTCTTGGTTTTTTGGATGTAGGTGTCTGGTGAGGCACAAAAATAAGAAAAAGAAGTTAACGGCACAGCTCTGGTAGACTTTTTCTATCTGTGTGTTTGACAAAATCCCCCTCTCCGATAGATTTAATCAGTGCCATAATAAACTAGAGGAGTGGCATTTGTGTTCCCTCCTATTGATTTTTTGTTCTTGGCAGGTGACGCAGAACTGACCAGCGATGCAAGAAAAGTCAGTCAAAAGTCATAAAATTTAAATTTGATGCATCTACCACATCGATATCATGACCGACACTGACCTCACCAAGCACTCAGCAAAGGCCAGACGCAACCAATCACAACTTCTTCAGTGACATTATAAATATAAATCAGCTTCCTTCATTAAGTCAGGCCAAATTAGTCTCTAGTGCCACTTTCAGCTACCTTAAATAAGAAGTATGAATGAAGAAGATGTGGTGAACAGATTTTAAAATCGGGGGGGGAAAAAAGCACTGAAATTAAGAGAGACGGGTATCGTATGTGTCATCACAACTCAACATATTAACGCATTTGAGACAAGCCCAGCGAGGCAGAGATTCAGTTGCTCCTGGCTCTCTTTTCGTCTCACCAAATTCGATGAAGGAGTAGGGCCGGGAAACAGTGGGGACCTTCCTTCCATGCTGCTCATGAAACTCTGCCTGCAGGTCTTCGAGGTAAGCAAAGGCCAGCTTCTTAGCAAAGCTGGCTTCGCACAGCACCAGATAGCACACTCCCTTATCTATGAAATAGCTGCAGGGTGGAACAAGAAACCGTGACAGAAATACTTGTAAGTATTCCACATTTATATTAGTGTTCTATGCCACTGTGTTATAACGTTAGGAATTGTGTGGTTTTAACTGTATTCATGTTGTTCTTCATACTCACTGAAATGACATGGAGCCGGCCTCTAAAGTGCAGCGTGTGGGACTCTGATCATTCAGTTTCCTGAAGAGCTGCTTAGCTTGACTCTGATATTGCTGAAGGTCCCGACCCATCTGATCAGACGGGGGGGGGGGGGGAGAGCAGATCAGTAACCACACGACTCACTCGCATCTCACACAGAAAATATGGTGTTTACTCAGGGCAAGAAATAGACTTTTAGTGCTACATGCAAATGTCACTATTGTAGCACCAGTTAAATGACAGTGTGATTTATTAATTTGTTTGCTTAAGTGCTTCACAAGACAGACAGAAATAGCAACCGCCCCCAAAGTCCAGATTTCACACGATCTCCCTTGACGGAGTGCATTTCTTGCCCTGTAAAGCGTGCTGGAAATAAACAGTTGGCACAAAACACTACAGACACACTCAGCAGTGTGATGCTTTAAGAACAAAAAGACACTCCAGCTGTTTGTGGTGAAGTAGGGCCAGAATTTTTGGATGGTGGATGGTTTTTTTCATTTCTGTTTAAATGCAAATGACAGTTTCCTTACAGCAACACGGTAGCATCACAGATACACACGCATGATGTGGAAGCACAGAGCAGAGACACAACAAACCTTTTCACTTCCCTTTACGAGAGCAAACAAGAGAGTGAAGGGAGAGATGTTAGACTCCTGGTAAGTCATGCTCAAAACATACTGCAACAACTTAACATGTCACAATGCCATGTATTTTTTTACATTTTCTCATATGTTAAAGTTTATGTTTGTGTCTATTGGAGTTTTGGGGAGGGTTCATGACATGATGCAGTAGAACAAGGGATGTTGCATCTGAACCGCGAGGACATTTTAATAATTAACATAATTTCAGACGGTATTCCTTTAAAAAATAAATAAATAAACAAACACTTCTGATAAGAATTTCCTTAAATTTGGTGTTTCAAAATGGCAAGCAAGACATCTACTGAGCAGATCATTTTACAGTTGAAAAACACGCTAGCGCCCTCTGGTGGACAATATATGTAAATGCAACACTTTTTTTTAAACTTAACGTCAAAGATATAATTTTAACTGTTTCTGGTTTCTAATCGGTCCAACATACATACATGCATCATATGTATATATATATATATATATATATATATATATGATCAGCTAAAATCTAAAATAGATTATACTGCAATCTGAAATGTTCTGCTGGAAAAGATGCATAACCTTTAAATCAGGTGTTACAACATATAGATACGTATGACAGTGAAAAGCAGATTTTGAAGACTTAAATTAGACTGTGTTAAGGCTCACATAGCTTACAGGTGAAGTTATGCAATGCTCAAAGGACTAGAAGCAGCATCTGGATTAGGCGAGGGTTCAAACACTGAGTCAGCTGCTCTGTGTGCACACAGACAGGCCTCCAGCCACTATGTTAGCAAACGTGTCAGTCTAGCATTTGTACAACTTAAGAGGCGTTCACAGCCTGCAGTGATAACAGCGAACAGACAGCTAGCAACAGAAAGAAAAAGCCGCTATTTTAACCTGTTCGTCCTCCTGCATTGAGGCGGCTAACGGCAGACCGTCAGCCAGCCGAGCGATCATCGTCAGCAGCACCATCTCTCTCCGCGATGTCCGGCTGTTTCTCCGCGGCCCAGTGAACGTTACAGGTAAACTGGTTACCAGCGTCTGACGGAGCTGTAAACTGACAACACCGCAGGGCTGACGCGCTGAGCTGGCCGGAAACGCAAGAGCTTTGTGCGTGTGTCACTGCTAAATGGTTCCGTACTTCTCGTTGTGCGGAGCCAAGTGTCCACAAAATATAGGTTCCGTCTCACTTTGACTTAAACCGTTTTCTTCAGACAGTGGACGTCTGTTTGTGTTTATAGTGGCTATTCGTGCTTTATTTAATGTATTTAATGTCCTACTGTAGTAATAGTACTGTCCCATTGTGTATGATTTACCTATTTCTCGTCTTAGACATTAAATAAATAAATACGTAGCTCGAGGTCCACGCACTAACCTTTTTTAGCAGTAGACATGGAGACATGGGACCATATCCCCTCCCATATGTCCATCCACTGAGGAAGACCGTGAGGTGCGACTGAAAGCACCAGGAAAAACGCTAATAAATGGACTGAGAATATTTTTGACTAACAGTTTCCATGGTCAAGTATGAATTTTTACGGTTAAATCAGCATCGTTAATTGTCAAATAATGATCAATAATTTGGCTTTTATGAGTTTCAGAAATAAAAATGTACTGTATTAAGATTTCAAACATTTGGATTCACCCTAAAATTATTGATAAACTGTTTATTTTAAGAATCTTTAAAAAATGCCGTTGTGTTGATCTGCTAATAAATGATGCGTTTAAATGCAGTGTTGTATGCAGTTCAAGGATGATTTTTGGTTTCATTATGTCTGCCAATATGTAAATATTTTTATGTGAATATTTTACAGAAAATGTGCCCTGTCACTTCGAGAAAGTATGAAAATGACAAGATAAAAGACAATTATTTCCCCCTTTCTTTCAAGAAGGCCACAGTAAGGCCAAGATAATAGCATAATCAGCCCTTGAATGCCTTCTGTCCAGTAAATGATGCCATCTCCACAAAACAGGACATCATCATTACAAAAGTCACCGTTCCATTTCCATTCTGCTTATTGCACAGAATGATATCACTCTTACTCATCGAATCCCTTATTGGTCCTTTACGCAGTGGAGCAGCCAAAGCTCACAATGAGTCCATTTATCTAGTAGTTGTAAGTGCAAAGTATATACAGCTGAGGGCAGCATTGGTCACTTTTAGGATAAGCCTCAGGGAGACAAGCCTTCTCTACAACACAAAGAAAGTGACTTTTCCCCCCCTGTCTTTATGGTATTGAACCTATTTCATTCAAATGGCTGCATTATGCCATCTCTTGAAAAGGCAAGTTCAAGGCATTGCTCAGGATTTACTTTTCCCACGATACCCTGACAAAACTATGTCAAAACAGCTGATTTGGAAATGCCAGATGGAGCAAAGAGCTCCACACAGAAGTTGTGCAGCAAATCACTTGAACTCTTGGCACAAAGGCCAGCAAAATGGAGTTGTAGCCCGGCAACCCTTCTCCAAAGACATGCACATACACACATTTTAAAACTATCACACACATCTAATACGCAGGCTGCACTCACAACCAAGCTGTGAGACAGCGAAAGAAAGACCTCACCAGACCTTCCACAACCTCCCAGTCGTATCAGTTGTGAGCGAGTCAGGTGGCGTGTCCGCAGGGAGTCGCTGTCACAGACTGCCAGACCCCCAAGTGAACCCCGGCATCTGCCACACAGCATGTCTGCTGCCTGTCTGACATTTCACAGAGGCATGAGCTGAGAGGAACAAGATGAAAGCCCACAAGTGTGGATCCCGTCACACGATATATTTAATAGAAAACCATCCTTAAAATAGAATAAGTCTGTGATTTAATTCCTCTTCTATGGGAAGAAGTGGGCTTCCAGGATAGGGTAACATGCAAGTGTGTCTGAATTGAGCTGAGGAGGAGTGAAGAATATTCAAGGACAACAGGTGGAACAGGAAGGCTCCACGGCTAACAAGAACATATTGAACACAAGAGTTATCAGTTGCATATCAGATTGTTATTTTTTTCCCCCTGCTCCAACAGCCCACTGTCTTCATGGGGATCATCAAAGTATCCTCCCATATCATCTCTCCTCTCTGTTCACTTACAGTGCTTATGGTAATACCAAAGTGTGATGTGCCCATTCAACACAGCCGCGGGGGTAGAAAGTGATTTTATGGGCGTGAATACTACTTTACATGCCTGTCTGAGAAGTGCTGCCTGTGATAGTGTTGAATAGTGCTCATCTTAACCGCCTCCAATCACACAGGCTGACTACTGACTAGGACAGCAGTGACAATCATCACCGTAATGACCATTACTTGACCTCGTGGCCTCACTGTAGTACCCCAACACACACGGTCGTCACAGAAGACTACTGTAGTTCACAACTGGATATGCAGCCTGAGGTGAGGGTTGCTGCTAAGCACGCACGGATTACTCGCTGCACTTGTTTTGAATCCGGATTTTCTATTAAGAGAGGCAACTCGTGACGAAACATGGCTTTAACAAGTGGAAGGTAGTAGTGCCATACCACTCCAGGGATCGGTATACCACTGAACAACCGGCATACCACTCCAGGGATCGGTATACCACTGAACAACCGTCTCATA